AGACATTTCTCATTAAGAAAAAGGTATCTTTAAAACTTTATGACAAAAAAAATTGCTTTGGTAAATGAGAAAAACTATTTGCCTTAAGTTTGTCCTTTTTTAGGCTCATAGGTAATTGTGTTTTCTTTGTAAACAAGCTCCAGAAGATCAACATACTCTGAAATAGAGGAAATAATTAGGTATCATTTTTGTTAGTCTTAGAGGAAATTAGATGTGATTTGGTTAAGAGTTCAGCTGTTAAGATTCCCCATGAGAACAAAAGCACTTTCGTAGAGGTTACTTCATAGGTTAATGAGGCTACTTTACAGTTTTTCTAACTTAAAAAAAGTTAAGTGTTCCAAAATCTCATGGATTTCTTTAGTATCTGTGCAGTAACTCTAATATATCCTTCAGTGATTTAAGTAGCTATAGTGGTAATAGCTGATGATCTCATTACAGTGTCACTATGAAAATAAAAATCCCCATGAGATTTTTATTCTGGTCTATGTCCAAAGGTGTAGGGATATTCACATATCACACCTAAAGTTCCACAAAGGAACTACACTAAATATGTTCATATCCATTTTTACGTTGAGTACAATTGTGGAAAACAGTATTTCTTACACACTTTATTATGCATTTATAATACCTTTTGTTTCTGGCTTTCCAAATTATACTAAAAAGGTACATTCTTGACATGAGCATGAAAGCTAGGTGGGCTTGGGGTGATGTGAACAAGGAGAAACAATGAGGAGCTGCCAACACTGAAAGGCTCCAGCACCCCCTGAGTGATTTCTATGCAGAAAGGATGGTGGCCACCCTGTCGACATGTAGAGACATGGCGGGATCCACCCTCCATCCCCAGGCCTGATCTTTTGATCACAAGGGAATTAAAAAGATGCCCTCATGATGACTGCGCTGTCAGTTGCATGGAGCTTCATTCAAGGATTTTCTGAGCCTGGTGGATTTACAATGATACTCAACCACCTGAGGAATAATACTGGTGGAAGCTTTCTCTGGAATTACACACACCCAACACATTTCTGGATGCTAAAAGTGGTTTTAAGAAAGGCTTTGGCTGAGTACCTCATAGATTCCTGCAGCCCAAGAGGGAACAGAGGACCACAGCTTCCCTCAAGGGCTGAGATTTCTGACCTTGCCTCAGACCGGAATGTTTGGTTGGGTCCCTGCCACCTCCCTTTGGAGGCTCCCCATGAAACAGGTGAAGTATTACACTTCACAGGATTGGTGTTAAAGATCACAAAATATATGCTGATTTGTGTAACATTCAGCATTGTGCCTGGCACATAGCAGACACTCAGCCCACGAACTGGGGACACTCTTTGTCCTCCAGGAGAGACAGAACTTCAATAAGAGATTTCCCACCTGTGTCAAGGAGGCAGGCACTGTGCTGGAATCCAGGACGAAGTAGAACAGAGATTACAATCCAGCTCTTGGAGGCTCATTGTCTAGAGGGAGCCCATATCCTTGGCCACTAGGCCACATTGTCTGGAGCTGAGAGGAGTAACTTCTACTCTCTTCCTGGTCACTGTGTGACTTTGGGCAGATCAACTCCTTTCTGTGGTCATTGGTGGGGAAACCATCTAATTTCTCTTCTACATTGGGACACTTGAGAGTAAAGAGGGCACTATAACAGTTACCCTGGGGGATCTAGTGTAAACTGGGACATTGCAGGGCAAACCAGGCCCAGGGACCCCTGGACTCATCAGTTGGAGGGAGACAGTGCTGTTGGTGCTGCTGCTAGTACTGCTCACACCACTTCATGACTGGGTCCAAATCTACCCTCACTTCCCCCACTGAATTTGCACGGGCAGTTTGCATTTCTTCTTTTAGCACACAAGCTTATCATCTCGCAAGTACGCCTTCAGCTGCTTGGAGGAACCCATTTCTCTTTGAGCCCCGTTATCTGAGACTGCAGCTGGAACAGGCCCCACCTGTGTTTTTTGGTTTTACTAATGGGCTCCTGTGATGGACAGCACACACTGTAGTCCTAGGAGACTGGGGAGGGGGGGTTGCTCAGCACTGCCATCTAAATCATGCAGACACCCCAGCCAGCATTCCCAGTGATGAGGGGTGCCCAGGCCCCCTAGAGGTCTGGTCACTGTGAAAGAAGAGCTGTGACTCATTCTCTGGGCCAACCCTGGAGACCAGGGGTTCACAATCAATAGCCATAAGGTTGCCTAGTAGTTGGTGTTTGTAAAAGCTTGGAGTGTGTCTATATAACCTACCAGCCTTTTGCATTTGAAGAAACAGGTTCAGAGAGGTTCAGAAAGCTGCCAAGGTTATCTAGGGAAAAAGTGAAGAAGCTGGTGTTTACATTCCAGTTTGTTTGCCTTCAACAACCCTGTTCTGCCAGTGTTTCTCAGTGTGCCAATGAGGTATGCAAGATGATTTTAGGTTACAGATGGTCAAGTGGTTAAAAATGATTGTTTTATATTTACCTTAATTTGAATGAGAAAAAGACCACAACTGGCACACAAGACTTGTGACTTTGCAGAGATCATTGCTTAGGATGTAGGTAAAATATATATTTAAGTAAGAATAGGTCAACTTTGCAAAAATATCCAGGTTAAAACGTGGACATAGCCTTCCTGAAGACCTCCATATTGAGAGTGCAGGTCCTGGCTTTATGTGAAAGGTTCTAGCCATATCACTGGAGGGATAGTGTCTCAAGCCTGTGACTTAAGTAGCGGTGTACTGCTTTGCATCAACTGTGCCATTTAGTCCACTATGATCCTCCCTAAATCCAGAAAATTCATGAAGTGACTGTACAGCTCAGCCTGAAGCTAGAGTGAAAACAAAAAGAATACCAGAATAAGAGTGCCAATAAGAGTATAATTCTGCTTAAATTGACTGTGGCTATTGATCTGGGCCTTGCCAACTCTTCTATATTGAGAGCACCCAAAGTTTTCCAATCAACCCCTGTATTATTGAGATTGAATTATGAAACAATAAATATTCCAAATGCACTTTTTTTTAAAAGTATACTCTTAATTGACACCTTCAGACACTTTGGTCTGAATTTTTAGTCTTTCAAATCCTCTAAAAAATACGAACTTGTATAAATGGTGACCAAGTCAGACTTTGTGACTATTTAAAGTGCAAAGTCAAATGAGAGCACATTAGTTCTGTGCTTCTCAAACTAGGATACATTAAGGAGCATGTGGCTAACCAAGATAACACAATATATCTTCCCAGAAGATACAATTAATATATAACCTGAAGAGGGAAAGGATTTTTGTATTACAATTATGGAATTAGAATGCACAGTTTATATTAGCATCTATGATAAAACACAGGATTAAACCATTTTAATGTCATAATTGAAGGGAATTTGAGAAGTTCTTGTTAGCAAAAAGCTCTGTGAAAAATGCAAAGCAACATTCAAATATGTCTTTACCATTACCAGGTTTCAGAATCCCTTAGTTTCCAAGAAGCAAAATAGCCTCAGGACTCATCCATGTACAGTCTTCATTTCCTCAGGCCTATCCAATAATTGAAACTGTGCAAAATGAGGAAGGTGTGTTAATACATGAATTTTCCCAAAGAAAGTGGATTCTTAGTGGTTTTCTGAAACAGCCTTTCTTGAACCAAAGCCTCAGCTCAAAAAGGCAGAATGCTGTGCTCTAATGACAGCTTCATGAAGAATGATCAGGGGCTCCAAAATCTCAAATCAATCACAACAAAACTCCATATGTATGGCTGGGCTTAATTACAATAACCAGGGTTTTCCTTCACGTTTCTTTTGCTCTGAATTTTTCCACTGATCCTATGTTACCATAATTTGATAAAATATTTCAAATGTCCTTACTATCTTATCTACTTTAAAGGTATTTTATTACTTCAGTGAATTATGCCAATACTAGTAACACAGATTCTCTTCTATGAACAACACCAACATCTGTTTATTCTATTAGCAGGCCAGGGAGCAAAGCAATTACAATTCCATTCCCATTTCTTTTATAATTCAACCTAAGATGTCTCAAATGCGCCTGCATACCTCACTGTGCCTAGCAGTAGATGGTCAGGAAACGACCTCCAAATTGGATTAACCTTTCAGTTTTCACTGGAATAAATTATTATTATATTTCAACTGAAGCTAGTTACTTGTCTTTTATCTCACTTCCCTTTAAAGGGTTTCCCAATGCAGCAACATCACAGTTGAGTCACACACCGGATCTGTTCAGCATAACTTTTGAAACTCATAGTTTCAGCAACTCAGTAACAGCACCTAACACTCAATAAGTAAGTCAGAATAAGTCCTTATTCTGAGCCAGGTCCTGTTCTAAGACCATATTACTTAAAATCCATATATTATTTGCTCCTCACAAAAACTCTCTAAGGCACATGTTCCTATTTTACATATGGGTTAAATAACTTGCCCATAGTGCCTTTCTCATGTTCTGTTTAATGTCAGTCCACCATTCATGAGATGGATGGTTCCACAAATTATATGTATGCTTATGTTCAGTATCCTCACAAAAAAACAAGCTATAAAAATTTAATGACATACTTTGTAAGCTTTTAAGTGTTACATAAATATCAAACAGCTTAATAAAAACTATTGATATGTCTATACTAATAAAGGATCCAAATAAAAGATAATAAAATTAACTCTTACCTCTTCTAATTACAATGCCTTGGGAACTGAAATCTATTTTTCTGGAATAGGGATGGCATTCTTTCCAAACTATGAAGGTACTCTCCCTACTGTCAGATGGAATAAAAGTAAAGTGCAAGCCCTTTCCCTGGAGACATTTTATATTTCTTCTTCCTTCATTATACTCAGAGATGGCCAAACTGAATTGCTGACTGCCCCAATACTGTTTGTATAGAATGCCATATTTAAGCTTGAGACTGTTTTCCTTTATTTCTCTGCTTTCACAGTGAAATACTTCAAGCATAATTTTTGCTAAGTTCTAAAAATTTCAGCAGGTAAAAACATCATGGAAATGGAAACTTACCCCCAACATATTTCATTTGGAAACTGAAGTTCAGAGAAAGTCATAAAAATTCAACTTAAGTAAGATTTATTGATTGCCTAGACTGTGCATGGTTGTCTACTAGACACAATGAAATTCAGGCACAAAACAGACACAAGATCCCTGGCCTCAGGTACCTTATGATCTAACTAGTATAATACAGATTAGAAACAGTAAACAAACAAGTTACATGGCAATGCTCACTTACTAGAATCAACATTAAAGAGCAGTAATTTAAGTAATCCAAAACGGTGTCTAATCCTAAAATCATTTATAAAATGCATTTAGCCTTGAAATCCACAGCACTTCAAACATGATAATGAAGTTCCACTGCAGATAAAGTCACAAAGATACAAATACACTTAAGGGTATTATTAATGATTTTTGTTATTTTGGATCTTCTGTTTTCTTCTTATTATCGTTCGAAGCCTCCGTAATACCAGTTTATCAGACAGAAGCATGTCATCTTGTTGTTCTAGGTAATCCAATAAATTCTCGGTCCATTCAAGTGCAGCTTTATGGCTAATATGCTTCTCTGGATTCAGATCTGCTTTTCTAGTCTTATTGGAATGCTTTTGTTCTGCAGCCTTGGCCTGGTCCTCAGCACCTTCACTGTCAGTTAGCACCTGACAGCTTGAATCATTACTCCGAGATTCAAACCACTGATCAATATTTTCAATGTCAACGTGTTCACAGTCTTCTGTATTCTGTAAAACCGTTGCTAAGTTAGCTGCTAAAATGGCTCCTTCATCAATGTTCATGCCTGAATTCTCTTCATTGCTAGGGAAAAGTTTTTTCCATGCTTTGGTTATGGTACTTGATTTTACCATGTTCCAAGCTCTTGATACTTCATAAATTGCATCCAACACTGTCAAGTTCTTCCAAAACATTTTTGGGTCAATTCCCTCACCCACGTATTTCTGGAGAAGTCCTGCTCGGTAGTATCTTTTTACTGTGGCTAGAACTCCCTGACTCATAGGTTGAATTAGACTTGTGACATTTGGTGGCAAATATTTCACAATTATTCTGCCATCATCTGAACTCAATAATTCTTCATTTGGATGTGCTGGGGGAAAATCCAAAAGAAGCACTGCTTTTTCTAGAAGCCCCTGAGACTTCAGATGTTTCTGCACCTGTGGCACAAAGTATTTTTCAAACCACTGTCTGAAAACAGAATGTTCTATCCATGCACTTTTTTGACTAAAATAAGTGACAGGAAGGTTTGAAAGGTCAGCTCCTTTGAATGCACGGGGTTTTTTTGCTTTTCCCACAACACAAAGATTAAGTTTGTGTAAACCAGTGGCATTTGCACAACACATAATAATGATTCTCTCTCTGCTTGACCTATAACCAGAAGTATTTTGCTCAGTTTCAAGAGCTAATGTCCTTGATGGTAGACATTTCCAGAACAATCCAGTTTGATCAGCACCATAAATTTGCTCTGGTTGTAGATTCTCTCTCTCAACGAACTCCTGAAAGTTACCGCAAAATTCACTGGCAGCAGTTTCATCTCCTTTTAACTTTGTTCCTTTACCAGCAGCCTTTGGAATACCATGGCGCTGCTTAAACCGAGTAAGCCAGCCAGATGACGCATTAAAATCACCTTCCATCCCCAGAGCATCAAAAAAGAATTTGGCTTGTTTTGCGCAAATTGTTCCAGACACTGGAATCCCATCTGTTTTCTGTTGGTTAAACCACTCTATCATAACCCTATCCAGTTCCTCATATGTTGATGACTTCATTGATTTACGTTTGGATACCCCACTTGTAGGATCTGAACTGTTTGCATAGTTTATAATCCTTTCTTTATTCTTTTTAATATCACGAACTGTGGATTCACCAATTCCGTACACCACAGAAAGCTTTTTGAAAGAGATGCCTTCCTCAAGTTTCTTAATAATGTCAAGCTTGTCCTTAATTGTCAACACCACACGCTTACGTTTCCCCAACATTTTAAGTGTCTAATATTTTAAGCAATTACTAGGATATTTAACAACTTAGATTTGGATACAATGAGACTAGAAAATGGGGTTTTAAGATCCCTTCCCTGTCCCCCCCTGGACCTAGATGGGTCGTGTGCAGGCCAATTTCCAAGCCAGGCCTATGTGACTCTCTTCTCTTTGCTGTTTTAAAGCCTACAAAGTTCTTTCAACAAGGACTAGTTTTAATTAAACCTATCTTCTTTCTTCCTCCTCACTTAGTTTAAGGTCTTTTCCTGTACCGCACTCTCAAAGGAGATTGCAACCAATACTGTACCAGCAAGGACTCTAAAACAGTCCTATTGTGTATTCAATTCTTGCCATCATTACAGGTGAGAGTCTTTGCTAAAGGAACTAAGACTCAGGTGGGACTATTTTGAGAAATGTGCTAGGGAACAGTTTAAGAGAGGACTTGTAAACATGACATATAGGAAAAAAATAATGGAAAAACTCATCCCTTGACCTTTGTCTTTGTCAGGCAGTGCGCTGTATGGAATACTGCCTCTTCTGGGCAGGACTGCTAGAGATTATTCAAGTGAGTGGTTATGAAAATCACAGGCAAGCAAGGTAAAGCAAGCTGGACAGAAGTGAGCAGTGCAAATAAGGTGAAAATGGACAAGCAGAAAACTTTGTACTTTAACATGACACAAACTTATACCTAATGTATTTGGCAACTGGAAAGGCAAAAGGTGGACAAGAGGTGGTGTCACATGATTAAAGAAAGCATTAAAAACTTCATTGGTAGAAATCAGAACTCATGGTAGAGGCTATGAGGTGGAAGGCTCAGTGAAGATGTTAAAATAATCCTGGTGAGAGATGATCCTCGATGGGCCAACAGAAGTAGTTCCTGTGGGGAGCTGTATAAGCACTCGGTGCCTCCGAAACCTAAAGGAAAATACCAAAAATATTTTTTTTCAATATCAGGGTCTGTGGCATTACTCATATCTATCCTGCAACTGTATTGAGAAAATTAACGCCTATCAGTGTGATGACAAAATCCGACAAATAATGCTTTTAGGCATTATCTGGAGTGACAGCGGGACCTGAATTGCCTACCTCCTGAAATTAAGAGGTCAGAGACAAGCCGTGTTAGCGAGGGCCTCTCCCCGCAGGGCGAGCTCCGGAGCGCGGGACGTCTTTGCTCACGCGGAGGGAGCCCGGATTCCTCCGTGGACGCCGGCGACCAGGGTGTCACCGCCGCAGCGAGCGAGCGCTTGGCCCAGGGAACGCCAGTCAGCGGGCCGGAAGCATCGCTCTCCGCCAGACAGCGCGGCGGCCAGACTGCCCTGAAAGCAAATGGAGTCTCTAGAGGGAAGCTGACACTGGTGGCGCGGTAGCGGCGAGGGGCGAGCGTCGCCGCCGGAGCCGGAAGGCGGGGGATTAGGGTGCACGCGCGCGCCCCCGCAGGAACGCTGTGTCGGCGAGGGGGCGGGGCCTGCGCAGGCGAGTGCGCGCGGCGCGGGGGCGGAGTCTCCACTGAGAGGGCGGGAGAGGGCGGGAGAGGGCGGGAGGGGGCGGGGCCACCGCTGCAGCGTCTGTAGGTGCCGCGTGGGTTTCGCTGATGGCCTGGCTGCTCCAGCCTGCCGACTATTTCGCCAACCAGCAGGGGGCGGTACAAGTCCACCCCTTCTTGGCCCCTCTTTCAGTGGCTCGCCTCTGCGGGGGAGGCTTCCTCTACTCTCAGGTGGAATAAAAATCGCACCCTCTGAGTGCTCCCGAGAAAGCTGCGCATCCTCAGGTGCCACGAGCGGGATGCGAACGGGGCTGGGCGAGCGCACGTGGAGCGTGTTTACAAATAGAGGCCGCTGCACCCGCGCCTCCCAGCGCCCGCCAGCTGGGACTGGACCAGTTGGAGCAAGGATCCGGAGCAAAGGTAGGAGCGAGCGGACGGGACTGCTGGCCGAGTGCAGGAAGGCTGGCTGTCCTTGGGGTCCGGGTTCAGGAGAGGAGCTAGGGCTTACACTCTGCAACACCTACCTGAGCAAGCCCGGGGTCCCTGAGGCGCAGCAAGGGTTGGTCAAACTGGGTATCGACTATTTCCACCCTGGTTGCGCTGCTCCAGGGTTTAAGTCGCCGTCACTATAGAAGCGGACCCTGTGCAAAACCGACTGCACCTCGGAGACGCGTGAGTCTGTGGGAGGCTCCCTCATGAATTTCTTGCCACCCCTTTACTCCTTCTGCTTCTCGGTAATAAAAAGGGAACTGCAGTTTGACAAAGAGTTTCTTGATTTATTTTAAGTGGAGATACCTTTCGTTTCTATTTTGGCTTTCTAAATGGACCGAATGCCAGCACCTGTGCATTAATAACCTTTGCGATGAACCATGCTTTTTCCCCCTTCCCAGACTTGGTTCCTTGTGGGGCCCTCGGAGCCTTCCCAGGGGAAGGGAGTGGCTGCATCTTCATCCTGCAGCACCTGTTTACCGAGGAAACGCATTTAGCCTTTTCTTTCTGTCTTGTGTGTGTGTGCGCGTGTGTGTAATACTTTGAAAAATAGAAAAGGCTAAAGTTTCCCCAAGACCTGAGCAAAAATGTCTAGCCATTTTCGTTAACATAAAGTAGCACAGTAATTCGTCATTTATTTGCAAAGGCCATATTGTTGCTAAAAACATTTCAAAGGGGAACTGACCTGAGCGTTCATACTGCAGCAAAGAGATGCTCTTTGTAAGCCTTCTGTCTTACTCCCCCGCCCAAACTGCTCAGTTGCCTTCCTGAAAATCGCAGCTGTGCTGTATCTGGCATGATGGAAAAATCATTGATCTCCTAGCTATGCTGTGAAGTGGCTTTTGACAAATACTTGCTTTTCCTAAAGGTAGATCTCCCCCTCCCCCATCCTTCCCCCGATATATCAACCAGGCAGTTTTGGTGTTTTTGGTTGACTCTTTTGGGTAAAGTACAACTTTATGCTAGTTTTATATCACTTTTAAAAGTTTGCCTTTCCGCCCCTCACAGTTTTAAGAAGCGTGAAAACAGTTGTATCTGATACATTATCCATTCCTCATACGGGAAGAGAGCTGACATTTACGGAGTGCTAACCAACGGAGGTGGCTTGTAAGCAGATGCTGGCAGCCTGGCTTTCCCCTTGCCCGCCAGCCTACTGGAGTCACTGGGTCCTATTATATATTTAAATAAAGTGAACCCGGACTCTTCTCTCCCTCCGCCAATATCTCTGGGGTTTAATTTCCTTCCAGATACCACTTGCATCATTTTCCTGTTTCTGCTGATTCTCCAGCTTGCCCGTGCCTTTATCTCTTAGAGCTGTTCCCTTTTCATCACCTTGTGTAAGTTCAGATCTGGAACGTGGCCCACATGCCTTGATTTCCTCAAAACACCTAACACAAGGCAGTTGTATTTAGTAGACTGAGATTTTACCCTAGACAGCTGTGTCTTTACAGAAGCTAATTTTCTCTGACTTCTTCCTTTTTGTTAGGGGGGAGGGGTTGCTAGTTGTGGCAGATTAATTTATATTAAAGTACAAGAGTGGGAGGCGGGGGAGGACCTTACAGTAGAATGTGTGTTCTTTTAGGAGCCAGGGTGGCCACAGGTAACTTCTTATCATCCGCTCTTCTCTTTGGGTCACAGCTTAATTCCATCTTCTGTGCCATCCTCTCCTCTCTCCAACATTTTTCTGTCTCAGGGCCCCTCTCGCCTTCCCTCTCAACGGTGTGTGAAATCTTAAAGATTCTTTTTCCTTTATCACACAAATTTGTATTTTGTTTTTTTCTGTCCCTTACCATTCACTGCAGTTTATTCTCTAATCAGAAGACATTTAACTCCTTAGGGAATCCTGCCACCAGTATCTCTTTCCTTCTAGGTTCTTGTGATAGCTCTTAATCCTTAAGCTTGTGCTATGAGTGAGGTCGATGTTACCCCTGTTTTATGTACAATGAAACAAAAGCTAAAAAGTATGTGAATCTATCAAATGTAGGTGGCAGAATGGAGAGTTGAGCCAGATCTATTTGGTTTTAAAGGCAACATGCTCTGCCGCACCATCACAATTGAGGTATTTAACTCAAAGACCGGAAAAGAGGAAAAAGTATATTGTGATTATTTTTGCATGAAGTTGCCATTTCTTAAAATGGAATTTTTTTTTTTTAAGGTTTTATTTATTTATTTGACAGAGACAGAGACAGCGAGAGCGAGAGCTGAGAGCAGGAACACAAGCAGAGGGAGTGGGAGAGGGAGAAGCAGGCCTCCCACGGAGCAGGAAGCCCGATGTGGGACTCGATCCCAGGACCCCGAGACCGTGACCTGAGCCGAAGGCAGACGCTTAACGACTGAGCCACCCAGGCGCCCTAAAATGGAATTTTTGACATTAACCTACCAAAAAGACATTCTAGTTGTGAGGGTACCTTAAGTCTGCAACAGTGTTCATCAGACATAGCACCTTTCATTGGACGGTGGGTTTTCTAAAGCTACTCCAAATCACCTGACAGTGAAGTTCCAAATTCCCTTTCCTGCTGAGATAATACCACTGCAAATACATTTTGTGGCCTCATTTTCAGATGTATGCTTTATACTTGATAGTGTTATAATAGTAATAGTGTTATAATCTCCAGGTAGAGTAAATTCTTTTAAAGGAACTGCTTTCTTTTTGGGTTTCATTTACTTTATCAGTGACTCTCATTTATTTGGAGATTTTTAAGTTACTCAAATTAGCTATTCCAATAAGCTTAAGACGAGGACATGATACTGTTATTCCATTTGCATTAAACTGCTTTAATATCAAATAGTATTTCTCTCTTAGTAATTGAAAATTACTGCTAATTGAAATAATTTCACAAAAACCATATATTATTCACCTACTTTAAGGGACATAAAATATTGAGGGGAATTTTCAGGCTAAGATATTTATTTTTGGAGAGTGTGCGTGTGTGGGGGGGGGCAAACAGTATTTAGAACTAAAATGAAAACTTGTTATTTGAAATCTCCTTTAGCTGTAAAGTTATTTTACTTTGTATTATAGACAAAAGTCTGAAGTATTCATTTTTAATATAAAAATCCCTTTTATATGGTTAAAAGTAGAAATACTTTTCCACTTGAAAATTTCTGGACCCAAGTGAAAGATCAGATTACTCACTGGAAAAGACTTTATCTTTTTTTTTTTTTAAAGTTGTTAACATGATATTGAAAGATAATGATTTTTTTTTCATACTCTTGAGTCCTCTCGATGCCCAATAAGAGGCTTTTAAACTTAATTTTGTTTTCTAGGTTTCCTTGTCGGCTGACAGGTTTTCAGTTCACTGGGCAGCATAGGCAAAGATAAGAGGAGGATGAGTTCCTAGGAAGATAGAAAAGTTTTAAGTGTTGAAAAAATGAAAACTGCTGGTGGAAATGTTTAAGAAAAAGTTAGACTTGCTTTCTGAAAAACATGTGGATATAAATTGAAGAAATTGGTGAACTGCTAATTGATGGTGGCAATGTGGGTTGGAAGCTTGAGTGAAGTTTATATACCCTACCTTTCCAAACCTGCCTGGTTTCCAGCTCTTCTCTAAAGGAGCCCTCAGTCCCTTTAGATTGGTCAAATCCATTTTACTGAAAGCCACTGTGCACCACCAGACCACTCATGCTCGCTGTCCTCAGCACATGCAGCTTCATGCTTTAAGACTCTGCTTGCTGTTGTTCTACAAGCCTAAAACGTCCTCTCCTCTCTCTGTTAATCTGTACATCCTTCTGTTCTAGTTTGTCTAGAAACCTGCTTTTCCCAGGGCGCCTGGGTGGCTCAGTCTGTTGAGCGTCTGCCTTTGGCTCAGGTTGTGATCTCCGGGTCCTGGGATTGAGCCCCACATCGGGCTCCTGGCTTGGCGGGGAGTCTGCTTCTCCCTCTGACCCTCTTGCCTCTCGTGCTCTCTGTCTCTGTCTCTCTCAAATAAATAAATAATATCTTCAAAAAAAATTTTTTTTTTTACAAACCCTGCTTTTCCCCAAGGTTGCTCCTCAGACCTGATGGGTCAGAATCACCTGGGGTCCAAAGTGTAGCTTCTGGAATCTTTCATTTTCAGCACGCATCCCAAGTGATTTAACACACTAAAGTTTGAACACCTTATATACTGACAACCATTTTGAATATGAGGTTCTCCCTTCATAATAATATATTCTCTTAGAAGGGAGTTTTTCTTCTCCCCCCTTGCCCTTTGTTCTTAAGCTATACACCATCTTTGAAGGAAAATAGGACATACAGAAAAGCAAAAAGGAAAACAAGCATACCAGCATTCAGAGATAATAACTCTATAAACATTTTGGGGTGTAGCCATTGTCTTTCTTGTATCAGTGTAATTATCTCATATATAGTGTGTGTATACATTTTTTAATGAGAACACGAAGTCCTAATATACATAAAATTTTATACATACGCTTAATGACATTATATTTTATTATATTATTGCTTCTCATCAGCCATAAGGAATACACCTGTTGCCAAAATTGGGCTTACTGCTGCAGCAAGGGAGACCCATCTGTACCTTGGAAAACCACGGAGTGTCTCAAAGAGAGGGAGTCAGGTGGAACCTGTTACAGGATTTGGGTAAGGTGATTTTCGGGAGGTTTAAAGAAAGTAAGGAATCTATTCTGGATTGGGAGCTCTCAGAAAGCAGGAGCAATTTGACTCTTGAGCATCTTAATTTTTATTCAGGAAGCTAGAGGGACAGGCTAGAGTTTCATTGGAGCAGTCATGGTAGTCAATCCTGCAAGCCAGGAGAGGGGGATATTTGGTCATTTTTTGTTGCACAGCATTTCCCACTCCCTTCTTCTTACATTTCTATTCAAACGGAATTGTGCAGTGATTTTGTTTTTTGTCTTATTTTACCACAGTCATGGAGAGTCTAATGTCTATGAAGCTATTTAGACTCCTCAGGGTAACACGACTCAACCTTTTTCAGAGCTTTCAGCAAATCCTCAAAGGATCCAGAGTCCAAAAATCTTAAATGATAATCACTGATAGATAAGCTTATTCAGCCTTGAAACTATCCCTAATTTAGCTGTGTAGATAATATCATGATGCAATTCTGCCTTAGACTCTCTTATGGTTGAAGAAGACTGTTATTAATGCCTGGCTTCCATGCTTCTAGTTTAAAAAGGTCCCATGATAGTGCTTCTCAAACAGCTTCAATCAATTTTCAAGGTTTTCATCACCCCAAAATAAATCCCATACTATTAGCAGTCACTTCCCATTGTCTCCCGCCCCGCAACCCTCTCTCCTGCTCCCCAGCCTTTGGCAACCACTTGTCTCTATGGATTTGCCTATTCTAGACATTTCATATAAATGGAATCATATAATATGTGTACTTTGTTGGCTGGCTTCTTTCACTTAACATAAAGTTTGCAAGGTTCATGTTATAGCATGTATCAGTATGTCATTTTATGTACGTTATCAGTACATTTTCTTTTATTGCTGAATAATATTCCATTATATGGATATATGACATTAGTCCATTCATCAGTTAATGGAAATTTAAGTTTCCATTGTTAGGCTCTTATGAATAATGTTGCTATGAACATCCATGCACAAGCTTTTGTACATAGGAACATTTGGACATATGTTTTCATTTCTCTTAGGTATATAATAGATTGGGATTGCTGGGTCATATGTTTAAACTTTTTTTTTAAGATTTTAAAAAATTTATTATTTGAGAGAGCAGGAGAGTATGAGCAGAGGGGAGAGGGAGACGCAAGATCCCCTCTGAGCAGGGAGCCTAACGTGGGGCTCGATCCCAGGACCCTGGGATCATGAGCCGGAGGCAGACATTTAACTGACCGAGGTACCCAGGTGCCCCTATGTTTAAACTTTTGAGGAGCTATTTCTTAGTTCATACTGAGTATGAAGTCTTGGTTCATTGTACCCTGTCTTAGTTCATTCATACTGCTAGAACAAAATCCCGGGATAGCTTATAAACTATAGAAATTTATTTCTCACAGTTTTGGAGGCCAGGAAGTCAAGATCAAGGTGCCAGCAGATGCAGTTAGGACCACCTGGTTCACAGATGGTTCCTTCTTGCTGTGTCTCCACACGGGGGGAGGGGCAAGGGATCTCTGGATTTCTGTGTAAGAACACTAATTCCATTCACAGGGGTTCCATCCCCATGACCAAAGGCCCCACCTCCAAATGCCATCAGATTGGGCATCAGGATTCCAACATATGAATTTTGGAGGGACGTAAACATTTAGACAGTAGCGGGCTCCAATTTCTCCACATCCTCGCCGACACTTGTTACTATCTTTTTGATGTATCATCATCCTAGTGTGTGTGAAGTGGTATTGCATTGTGGTTTTGATTTGCATTTCTCTGATGGCTGACTCAAGCATCACTTTGTGCTGATTTATTATTTATGTATCTTTTTTGGAGAAATGATGATTCACATCCTTAGCTCAGTTTTTATCCGGGTTAAAATAGAGTTACAATATTGAGTGTTAAATGATCCAATTTACTCTTCCTCCACTGGCTTGCTTAGAGGAGAGACATAATAAATAACCTTCTGAGGAGTATCTCATGTTTTTAGCCCGACTGATGCGAAAATACTGATTGTGAGATACTGTCCCTTGCTTTACTTAAGGATTCATATGATAAATTCTGACAATTTTTAATGTCAGGAAAAAAGGTGACTTCCAG